GGATTATCACGAACAGATAAATTAAAGTTGATCGGCGATAGGAGTATAGGCTTAGTCCATTCCGTCCCGAACGGCCAAGCCCTGGTCAACCAGACTGTCGAATTTGCAGTGCTGGCAACGATCTAGAATAAGGTAATGATGAGTGTTGCAGAGATCATTGTGGAGGTGAGGGCAGACTAGCAGAGATCATTGTGGAGGTGAGGGCAGGCTAGCAGAGATCATTGAGGAAGGAGGGCAGACTAGCAGAGATCATTGTGGAGGTGAGGGCAGGCTAGCAGAGATCATTGAGGAAGGAGGGCAGACTAGCAGAGATCATTGTGGTGGTGAGGGCAGGCTAGCAGAGATCATTGTGGAGGTGAGGGCAGGCTAGCAGAGATCATTGTGGAGGTGAGGGCAGGCTAGCAGAGATCATTGTGGAAGTGAGGGCAGGCTAGCAGAGATCTTTGAGGAAGTGAGGGGGCAGGCTAGCAGAGATCATTGTGGAAGTGAGGGGGCAGGCTACCAGAGATCATTGAGGAAGTGAGGGGGCAGGCTAGCAGAGATCATTGTGGAAGTGAGGGGGCAGGCTACCAGGAGATCATTGAGGGAAGTGAGGGGCAGGCTAGCAGAGATCATTGTGGAAGTGAGGGGGCAGGCTACCAGAGATCATTGAGGAAGTGAGGGGGCAGGCTAGCAGAGATCATTGAGGAAGTGAGGGGGCAGGCTATCAGAGATCATTGTGGAAGTGAGGGGGCAGGCTAGCAGAGATCATTGAGGAATGGCAGGCTAGCAGAATCATCATCAAGAAAAGTTACCAAAGAACACCGGATGATGACAGCGACGCGGCCACAGCTCCCTCCAACGCTTCCTGGAAATCATACAAACGTGAGGTGTCCCAAACAGCAACTCACAAAAACCAATCGCCACATCCTCGACACATCGGCAGCCCAAAGCGGCCGGAGGTCGGCTTCATCTTGCCGCACTTAGTGCAGTCGTCAAGCACCTGTAGCATTGGAGTTGTCTAGATTAATGGCCATACCGTCTTGGCCCAATAGCGTTTTGCGGGTGTCTCTTGCACGTGTCGAGCTGGCGGGGGGTGGAGAGTTAGAGGCGGCGGAAGCGGAAGCGATCGCTAGAAAGTGATATTCGAAAATTTGGCCTTTTTTTGCTCATTTTCCTACATTTTGAAAGGTATGTATAAAAAGCTATGAAAAGTGACAAAAAGCCAACATTTTGAAAGAATCCTACTATATATAAAAAAATAGTTCCTGTGTGTGTGTATGTATGTGTGTGCATTTGCATGCAACTTCCGTCAGCGTGTTCCAGTAGTATCTCAATAAGGGGAGTAGTTAGGGGCATGTTTTATACCTCATTAGGTGCGTAATGGCCTTGGGATGACTGCACACTCACAAAATTTTCAAAAAGTCGCTATTTTCGACGTTAAAATTAAGTTTTTGTTGTAAAATCAGTGACCCTCTTTGTTAGGAAGCAATTAGCATACGCCGGATGTTGTGGGAGCCTATATAAGGGAAGAGAGGTAGCGTTTCTCATTTTTTTTGTCGTCGAAAACACGAGAACTATGCAAAGTAACGAATATCATGGGATCAGACGGGGCCAGGGTTGAAAAGTCGCGAAGCGGCTTTTCAACCCTGGTTTTTGATAAATTTCTAGCAAGCAAAAACTGCTAAAAAATGCCATCAACAGGTGGAAAAACAGAAAGTGGTTTGCCCCTTGCTAAAACTCCCCCGCTATCGGTCCAGATCCTGAGTTTCTTTCTCAAAAGCGTTTCGCACAAAGCCAACACCAAGAGGCCAACAAGGAGAATCCAACACCAAGAAGCCAACACCATCAGGCCAATAAAAAAGAAGCCAAGCAGGTAATGACCACCTCCACACTCTGTATATACACATCGCTTTTCCGTGTGGCTAGATACATTCAGAACGCATCCCATCATAATTTATTAATGCGTGAGTCGCGGCGCGGGATCAGGTACGGTATGCACTTTTCTTGATGAACAGGACGCCGACGAAGAGCAGGAGAGCGGCAGAAGCGGCGTAGGGCGCGTAGTTGGGCTCGGCCTACTGTAAATTCGACGTTAAGGCGGCAACAGACGACTCGGTGCTTCCGGCTCCTCTTGCCGCCCTCGCCCCGTCTTATTCCCTTATAACGCCGCTTACGGAGCCTAAACTATTTTAGGCTGAGCCTAGCCTGCCTGTAGCTTTTAATGTTGATCGAGTATGCAAAAATGCAAAATTCAGAAAATTCGAGATTCAACTTTCAGGTTTTTAAAGATGTTTTGCCTGTAGTACCTCGTCGATGTCGCGGGCCGTGAAGCTCGGGGGAGACGGGGTGAACTCCTCGGGCTCATCTTCAAAAGACAAATGCTCGAAGTGGAGAGGACGGTGGGTGGGGTGGTTGGCCTGAATTTCCGATGTATCCGGCTAAGCGCTAAGTCAGTACCTGGGCGTCGGCTGGCGGCACGATGGCTTCATTCTCCTGGGGGGCAGCCAAAGCGACGTCGGCTGGCGGCACGACGGCTTCATTCTCCTGGGGGGCAGCCAAAGCAACGGCGGCGTCCGGGGAGCCAGGATCGAGGATGCGCATCTAAATTTCCGGACTAGAATTCACGGGTGTAGCCTACATAGTCCTTGGGCTCCGGGACGGCAGGGTAGGGGTGGTCGGCGCGCCAATTGGGCAACTTCTTGTCGAGGACGATTTCGGCCGATTGCAGGATAGCAGCAAGTTTCTCGATCACCAACTTCTCGCGCAGGTTCTCGTCGCCGAGTCCGTTGATCTAAAGCAAACTTTTGATGCTGTTGGGGCGCGGAGCAGGTTTTTCCACAAAAAGGAGACCTGGCTTTTTCAGACTCAAAAGAGTTCATAATTTTTTTCTGCTGCACCCTGTAGTGATATTGAAAATTACCGTTTTGTTCATGATCTCAACCGCGGCGGCATATGGGGTCAGCGAAGTCTGATATGAGGCGTTGGTGGAGGTCACGTCGAGCCGTTCCGTTTCACGATCAAGATCAACACCACCCGCAACGCGCTGTTCACGAAGAGCGGCCGTGACGAGATCCGGGGTTGGCAGGGCGTTGTTGACAAAAACACTGCGAACGTGGCGCATATTCTTCAGCACCTAAGCGCAAAGTTTGCAGTTATGGAAGTATTTACGGCTTAGGCTTCGGCGTGGGCTCATGCTTAAACTTAGGCTTAGGTTTAGCTCTGCGCTTAGGCTTAGGCTTAGGTTTGACTTCGGCCTAGACTTCAGTTTAGGCTTGGTTTAAGCAGGATTCGAATCTCGTCACCGGGATTTTGATTTTATTTGTGGGTTTGTATATCAATAGCCTTATCTCTGTTTCTCTCTCTCTCTCGCTCTCTCTCTCTCGTTCGATCTCACTCTCTCTCCCTCTCTCTCAAGCTACTCGCCCTGTCTCTCTCTCGCTCTGGCTCTCCCTCTTTCGCGCTCTCTCTGTCTCTATGTCTCTATCTCTCTCGCTCTCTCTCTCTCTCTCGATCACACACTCTCTCTCGATCGCTGTTTCGCTCTGTATCTCTCTATGTCTTTCTCACATAGAGAGACAGAGAGAGAGAGAAAGGGAGAGAGACAGAGATAGTGACAGAGAGCGGGTGAAAACGTGGGAGAGAGCCGCCAATTTCATCAACCCTTCCAGTCCCCATGCATCTGCTGCTGTGGCCATTCCCCGGACGCGAATTCTGATGGTTCCTCGAGCGTACAGTATGCCAAGCGACGTCTCCTATGGATAATTATTTTCCTCGCCGTCACCAACTTCCCGCTCCTCCCCACTTACTGTAATTTCCCCAATTTTTCGCGTCATTTTTCCGAGATTCAGGTCTGTCCATCGAGCGCGTCTTCGAGATGATCACCTACCGCACGTACATCTTTGACTATAAGTTCTTGGCGTGAGTAAATTGGAGCTTAACGTTTCGAAATTCGGGACCTGTAGATGGCGTACGAGCTACTACAACAACACGTACTTCCTGTACTCGATCGGCGCTCGGTATTTTCGGTATAATTGGGTGGGAGTGGTGAGTACTGTAGTATACTAGGTACGGTACTTTCCAATTTACGAAAGTTCCCGGTTCCGATAAAATACAAATAACAGAATTTCAAGCAGAGTTTCGAAAGTACGATCTTTCCAAATGACGAGTTTCACGGCTTACGGTAGATAAAATGTAGTCTTTTTCTAACGGCATGCCTGGTAGTACCATAGTGTCTTCCAGCCTACTGTAGCTAGACCGCACTGCTAAGTCTAAGCCTACGTTCAGAGTACGATGCTTACGAATAACGGGTTCCGGGGTGTACTGTAGCTGAAAGTTTACGGTATCTCACAAAATACGATATGTCGTGTACACTTACCTCTAAAGTACGCTACTTTGCCAATGACATATCCACGAAGAGTACCTCACACTACAAATTACGTCATTCTCCGGTCGTATGCCTTCCTCACTACCGTACTTCACAATCTACCGTAATTCGTAGAACCCACTACTTTAGGAAAAGCAGAGTACAGTAACGTCCACCAGATACTGATAGCAAAATTCTGAAGAATACGTTGATGTACTCATTACGGGATTGTAGCTATATTGCAACCAAGACGTGTTCCGCTGCCTGTTCGTCGTGGCCAGCTTCATCCTGCTCCCCACCTTCCGGAGGGTCGTTTTCTGCTGCCAATGGGGTGATAAGAAAACGGTACTCATCATTTCAATGTATTTCACAATTTTTTTTCTAGAAAACAGCGCAAGCTACGGTGGAATACATGAAACAGATGCCGGTCGAGACCGTTATGCAGGTGAATTTTTATGTAGATTGGCGACGATTTATCGAATTTCTCATTTTGGCTTCCTGCAATCGAATCTGCATTCCCCGTGGCACAGAATACGGGGGTACGAACAGTGGCGGCCGAGAATTTCCTGAAAAATGGCGTGAGAGAGAGATAGAGAGAGGAAGAGAAAGCAAGAGAGAGAGGGAGAAAAACTTACTATACGTCCATTCACCTCGACCAGTTCATCGCAGGGCTCATCATCCGGGATGCAGACTCCATTACACCGATACCTTTCTCCCATACAGATCTGGAAGTTGATCTCTCTCGCAGGCTCTCTCGCTCGCCCTGGCTTCCCCCCCCCTCTCTCTCTTCTCTCTCTCTCTCTCTCTCTCCCTCTCTCTCTCTCTCTCGCTTTTGCTTACTAACAAAATGAGTCTTTCAAACCATTACCGGCAAAAGGTGAGCCTCGGTGATGACAAGGGCCATCGAGAAGAACAGCCAGAAGAGGAGCTTCATTTTTACGAATAAGTTGAGGCTTCAGCCCCAGTTTTATCTACTATCCCCCGATTATACAGCAGATTTCGGAGAATCAGGGCCCAAAAGTTTCCCAAATCTGCCCAAAGGGGATTTCTGACGCTAAAGGCCAACTGGGAATGCAGTTATAAAACTGAATCGCCAGCTTTAGCGATGTCTAGACCATTTCTAAAGAATAACAGTTGAAAAAGCTTATGTTATTATACATAGGTGCCCTTAAGGTAGATGATCTTCCCATTTAGCCACAACTACCGGCTCCCGCCGCCCAACCGTCAGCCCCACCCCTTCAGCCAGTTCAACCGGTGCAATCGTTCCAGCAGGTATTTCAGGTTTACCCGGCTCATAAAATTCTATACGTTCAGCCGGTTCAGCAGTTCCAACAAGTCCAACAGGTTCAGCAGGTTCAACAGTTCCAGCCCGTACAGCAGTGCCAGCAGGTACAACCGCATTGCCTCAGCCACTCAAATTCAGCAGAGTTCAGCAAGTGAACTACGCCCAGCCGCTCGCCCTGCAGCCGAACTTGCTGCAGACTACGAACTGCAACTGTGCCCATGGTGGTCAGCAACAGATGGTGATGCAGGTTAGTGATGTTATAGTGAGAGACAGAAAGGGAGAGAGAGAGAGAGAGAGAGAGAGAGAGAGAGAGAGAGATAAAGAGAGAGAGGGAGAGAGAGAAACAGATGGATACGTTTTTCAGATGTCCCCGATCTCCAACCCCACTCCGCAACAGTACGCCCTCGTCCCGATGGGGAGCATGACTACCGTAGGCAACCAAGTGGCCCTCATACCCCAACAGCGCACCACTGACGGCCGACTGGTACATGTTGAAGCGGTGATGAATCGCATCTCCTGACCCCCAAGATGACGCGCGACTACAAACTACACCTAGCGATCTCCCTGTTAAGCCTAAGCCTAAGCCTGATCCTATGTACTCCTTCTACCCCCGACAGTCCATGATAAACTTGTTGACGTGAAAACTCGAGTGTTATTTGGTGTTTTTCGGTATCTTTAAGCGTACGGTAGCTGACCGATGTCTCCCGCAATGAATCGAAAATTACGGGATAGCATGATTCCCCTGGGAAACGCTAATTTTCCAATTTTTCTTCCCATTTTTTTGGGAAAATCACGGGTTCGTGTGGGGCGGTTAATTGGTGGGTGAATTTTTGAAGTTTTCCAGTGCAGAAATTGGGAATTTTAGGTGCAGAAAACAACTTTAAAAGAGAGGAAATTGAAAATTGTTTTTTGGAAAACAAAATATTTTTTAAAAGTGGGAAATTTGTGATTACTACTAATTTCTTATAAGGACTTTTAAATTGAACTGCAACATTTATTTCTAAGTTTTATTATTTTGTAAGAACGAAAAAATTAGAAGTTTAAATACAGGGTACGGTAGTTGTCTGCGTGACGGTGTCCCCCGCTTCCATATGCGAGTAGGTGAACGAGGGCAGACCCGCACAACCGGCACCGTGTTCGCCCTGAAATGGAAATTGGAGCAAGCAAGCTAGCAGAGATCATTGAGGAATCGAGGGCTGGCTAGCAGAGTTCATTAGACCTGTATTTCCAAATACCTTCACATTAGCTGCTACGACAGCTCCCTGAAAACCCGGATAAAACTCGGCGATTCGGGCAAGGGACTTCTGCGCGGCTTCACGCGGGGATAGGCCCTGCCGCATCCACTCGACGGTTTGGTAGCTGAAAAAGGAGGTTGTGCTCTCTTGGCCTTTGTACCTGGGCAAAAACCGCATCAGCACATCTCCATCTCCAGTAGCTGACGCTCCCCCAACACCCTGCCAGAGGTACGCACCAGAGCCGGGAAGGGAGGAATCGCCTACGCGGCCCGGGATCTGAAATTGGGGTTGGATCCCGGTTTTGGAAAGCCTAAGCCTGCCTAAGCCTAAGTCGAGACCTAGACCCAGACCAAGTTTGAGACTAAGCCTAAGCTTAAGCCCAAGCCTAAGCCTAAGCACAGCCTACGCTCTCACTAAAACTTTCTATCTAACATCAATTTGAATCCATGTAATCCATAAAAATCAAATTTACATACCGGCACCCCGGAAGCTACAGTAACCCGGTATAAAACCCGATTTTTCGCCCGCATTTCACAACTTTCCCCCCAACGGAATGGAACTCGAAGACGGGTTCGCCGTCTCGTCGACGCGTCAGGTATTTTTTGGATTCCTTTTGGAATATTCAAATTTCAGCGCGACTCGCGTGAACGTCTCGGCGACGTCGCGTTCATCTACGGCGACTCCAAGCACACCCTCGAGCTGGCGGACGTCCTCGCCCACAGCCAAAAGCTGCAAAAGTTGATCGGTGGTGGGTTCTGACCGACTTCGCCGATAAGCTTAAAGCCAAGCATAAGCCAAGCCTAAGCCGAAGCTAAGCCGAGCCGAGCCCAAGCCATGCCTAAGCCGAAGCCTAAGCCTAATCATTTAACCCTCTTCAGCCGAACCCGACGCCCTCGAGCAGCTCGTCGCCGAGCAGCCGCTCGTGTGCGACAAGTCGCTGCGCATGGTCTTTGACTTCATTGCCGGCCGCGAGATCTTCATCGTGCATGAGATGGTAGTTGTACATCTTCAAGTCGACGACCCCCACTTTTCCAGCTCGACAAAGTGCTCGCCACCGCCCATGTGCTCGGCGTCGCCGAGCTGTGCATTGAGATGGAGAAGCAGATCGAGCTGATGGCGCACGGCCCCGAGACGGCCATGATCGCGCTCGAGATGGCCGGCCATGCCAATGTCCAGGATGACGTGGCTTACCGCATCTTCAAGGTGGACAGGCTGACGTTGTAGATGATCATGAGCTTCAGGAGTGCATCGGGCAGCTCGTCAGCTACGTGCATATCCCCAGCTTTCACGCGCTGAGCAGGAGGTCGATGATGGTGGGTAGCGGGTTTTCAAAGATCTGTCGACCTAGCGACAAGTTCAACATGTTAAACCAGTTCAACCCCCTTTCCAGGCGATGATCGACTGGGCCCTGGCCGACGCCCCTTGGACCCACCCCCTGTTCCGTGTCCCCTGGGCCTCCCTCTTCAAGGCGACCATCGTCTGGGCCCACCAGAACGTCTTCGGGGATGGCCGACGGGTTCGGGCAGTTCGACCTCGGAATCCTGGCTTTCAGGTCATCTCCCACCTCGTCGACCGTCTCGAGATCGAGCGCCTCTCCTTGGCCGAACTGCGCGACGTCGCTGAACTGCTCCCCATCGCCAACATCCCCCTCCGGCAGCTGGATGACTTTGCTCAGCGGCTGAGGGAGACGGTCGAGTTCTACTTTAGGTAGGGGCTAAACTGTGGTATGTTCATATGCTGTTCAGAGCCACCGGCCAGGCCCTCGAGATGCCCGACCGGTTCGGCGTGACCAGCGGCTTCGAGCAGGACACCGGGTCGATGAACAGCTACTGGCAGCCGAATCCCAATCGCCTGCCCGGCGGCCAATCCCCCGAAAAGGCCAAGCCGACCAGTTCGAGTACGTCGCGCTGCCCACGATTATTCAACCCAGTGTTTTTCAGTCTCCCCGGTCAATTTCTTGTTGTCCTCCCCGAACTCGTCGGTCATCCTGCCCTGCCGTTCTTGTGGGGAAGAAAGAAAGGAATTGAAATTGTGGGGCTTTCAGCTTCTGAGGGGCCCACCGAGTCGAAGCCGTTCGAGCTCGACGTCGGTGAATTGCCGCCGAGCCGGACCGGGCTTTGGGAGTTTGAGGTAAAAGCGTTAGGCTAAGCTTAAGCCTAAGCCTGATTAACCTAAGACAAAGCCTAAGCCCAGCCTTCAATTTCAGTTCCTCTTCGACGGCAAGGACCTCGGGCAGAACAAGCCGGTGAACGTCGACCTGGACGTGCAGCTGGAGAAGCCGCAGCAGCCCTAGCCCCGCCCCCTGCTCGAGCTCCTCCTCCTCCGCTCAACCCTTACCGAACACATCCCGTTAAATACCATGATGATCATCAATTCCAAACGCGAAACTCGATAAACTTTATAGCCGGGCTGTCTTAGTACGTGGCACTACTCGTTACGGTGCTCACAACATTGTAAAAGTGACAAAAAGTGAAAAAGAGAAACCCACCTTGTACCGGGCACCATTGGTAGATGTTCCGGCGGAAACCTCGCCGCTATCGTCGATCACCACCATGCCGATGGTGTCGTGGTGGAAACTGGAAAAGGCAGCGATTGGCCATGGAAATTGTCCGCTTTTCACATCTGCGATGCGCAAAGACTAGCCTAAGCATACGCCTTAACCCGTCCATTTAAAGGGACTCGAACACCCACCGATCGATGATCCGATTTGATAGCACCATTTTTTCGAGGTTGTCCGTAGCGGACGCAGGCTGGTACGGTCCACAACTTTTGGTAGGGTCTGGGTTCACGTTCTAAAAATCGTTGAGGAAGCGAGGCGGGCTGACAGAGATCATTGAGGAAACATCACCTTCCAAAAATTCGGCTGACAACTATTCCGCCGCCACACGTCCATCATCAGCAGTGAGGCCGGCGTGGTCAGGTTCTCTTCTTTGAAACCCATCTGGAGCGCGAAGCGTGTGGCTGCAAATGATGCTCCTCAAGGCTCTCCGCTAGCCTGCCCCGACTCCTCGATGATCTCTGCTAGCCTACCTATCTCCAAAACCCTCACCCTGCTCCCCAACAATCATCGTGTGCTGCGTATGGTTCATCACAGCCCAGGCCACGCGCGTAGCGTCGCGTACGCGGCGCAGCTGCGCGACGGCTGCCATCCGGTGCCCAGGTCTGGAAGCCAATGGCAAGATTTTCAAGGGAACGTGACAGCAAGTGGGGGGGGGGCTTCAAAGTCAAGCGCCTACCCGTCGATGAGAAGGGCATCAAGTGTCGTCTCGCCGCTCTCGTCTGGCGACCCACCGTAACCCACCGTCGTGTCGCACTGTAAGGGGTGGTTAGAACGCGAATGTACGCGGCAGTCCCAAAAAACCAAAAAAAAAAAAAAAAAAAAAAAAAAAAAAAAAAAAAAAAAAAAAAAAAAAATAATTCAATTAAATGGGAAATCGGATTACGGTAGGTAATTTGACGCTTAACGTAGTACGGCGCAGTACTCGCGGCGGTACGCAACAATACTCGAGGCCAGAAGCTGATTACGCATGCCAGTACGCTACAATACGCGGTGATACGTTTTCCTAAGCCTTGTGAATCAAACTACTCCAGTAATTCTAAACAAAAGAAATCGAGTACGAAACCGCACTCCTCACAAACTTTCCAAGATCCGATTACGCAATGTAAATCACTGAGTAGCCGAATTCATATTACGAAACCGTTCCCGGGTCGCATTACCGTAGTCCGGCCCAAGGAGTACGCAAATGTACCAATTCCAAGGTGCCAAGGTTCCATTACGCAATGTAATTCGACGCGTAACGGAAGAGGCCGTTACATAGTACACCTACCTGCAACCGCTCACACGTCGACAGCCCCTCCACCAGGCTGCCCATCCGGGAATTTCCGCTGTTTAACGAGTTGTAGGCTACAAACGACAATATTTACGATCAGCCACTGTACGAACCGTTAAGCGTAGCGCTGCGGAACCCGTCGCCATCCCAGGTTGTGACGACGACCCGACGGCAATGAGAAAATTCGCTGAATACAAGCAGAAAATAAAAGAATTTCATCGATTTTCCTTGGTGGTGGCAGAAGTAGCTTAGCGGAAAATGGACTGGATGACCCGGGAAGTGGGGTATCCGTTCGTAATTGGTCCGTAAAAGGCACTAAATGGGGGACAGATGGGGGGGGCGCCCGAATCGATTCGATAAACATCGGAAAGGAATGCCCTGGGGCAAATGTCATCACTAATACGTTTTAAATGTTCCAAAAATCTCAACAACCTAAATCAAACTCCGCGGAATCTAGCAAAAAAAAACTTTGCTGAGAGACACAAGTAACCGCCTCTTGCTCGCCTGAAATACATGTTTTCCCTAGCTTAAAATATCTGCGCAATTTATCCAAAACCTTGCTGGCAGCAAATACACTCACCGGGGTCAACAGAGTCGAAAAACCGATGAACAAAACCTTGCTGATAGCTTACAACTTTTGCGAAAACAACTCAAAAAGCTTGTGAAGAGCTTCAAAAACTCCGCTTGACTTGAAAATTCGGCTAACATTAACTTGCTGATAGCTTCCAAAAAACTCCCCTCAGCTTAAACATTCTGCTTAAGCTAATAAGAAAGCTTGCTAAAAGAGCTTCAAATAACTACCTTGGGTTAAAATTCTAAAATGCTAAACGCACTAACAAGCTAGCCGACAAATTGAAATAACTCCCTCGAGGTCGAAAATTCTGATAAAAATACTAAAAAAGCTTGCTCATAGCTTCAAAAACTCCCCTTGGCTTCATTCTGCTCCAGCCAATAAGAAAGCTTACTAAGAGCTTCAAATAACTACCTTGAGTTGAAAATCCAGCGAAACCCACTAAAAAAGCTCGATGATAGCTTGAAATGGCTAACTTAACTTGAAAATTCTGCTAAATCCCTTAATAAAGCTTGATGATATCAAATAACTATTGTGACTTGGCAAGTCTCCGAAAACTAGCTAATGCTGATGGCTTGAATAATACCCGTGGTTGAAAATTCTGCTAAACCCGAAAAAAACCTAAACTAAAACTAAAACTACTAAAAAAGCCTGCTGAGAGCTTCAAATAACTACGTTGGCTTAGAAATTCGGCTAAACCCACTAAGAAAGCTTGCACATAGCTTCAAAAAACTTCTTGGCTTGAAAATTCTAGTAAAACCATTCAAAAAGTTTTCTAAGAGCTTCAAAGAACTACGTTGAGTTGAAGTTAATTTTCTGTTTCTAGTTAGTCTTCAAAACCTGCTAGTTAATCCTTGGGATCCAATGAAAAAGCTCATCTATTATAAGAGGGCCCCCGATGTAGAACGCACGCTTGACGCATCGACGACTTCACCCGAATTCTCGTAGAGCATCTTGTACTATATGTGATACCTAAATCGCGGTTTTCCGCTCCATACTAGGAATTTCTGGCGAGGCATCCGGAATTAGGGACAAATGCGGTCAAGGAATGGAATCTTTATCGCGAGCGGCATATTTGGAGTACACAAGACAATTCAACAGAAACGCACAGATCAAGGGCCAGTTGGGACGGGAGCAAGAAACAAAAAATCAACTGTTACTTTGGAAAATTCACAACTTTTTAGAACGGGGGAAGACATGAAAAAAAACTGCACGACAATTCCGGAAACGGGCAAGTTCAAAGTGAGAAAGTAAGTAATTTTTAAGCTTTCACAGTAAATGGGATAAATACTTTTGAATCCGAGGTTCTTTCGCATTATCAGGGGGGACTTTTTCTTTCTTAGCGCCGAATTTTTCAAATATAAATCGCGGTAGTGTTTCCAAACTATTTCTTACTTTATCTAAACGTTTTACTTTAAAAATTGCTATTAAAAAATTGTAAACATATCAATTTTCGACCAAAAATGGCCGTTTTTTACCAAATTTAGAATTTCTGAGAATTTGATAGTTTTTCTAGTTGAAATATCGTTTTATTGAACCAAAGCATCATTAAAATAGTTCCTAGCAAGTTTCTGGGCTTTTAAAAAAAAATCGTTCCCCCCTGATAATGCGAAAGAACCGAAGTGGGTGTCCTCATCATGGCATCTTTAGGCCAGCGGAAACGAGCTCATCGAAGCGACAGCGTCGACAGCGATCTGAAAAATTTTTTTGAGTCGTGGTATAAGGAGAAGCAAAAATTTTTTAAAGCGCTTACCATAGGGGATGGGGTGGGAGCAGTGGCCGGGTGCGAACTCATTCCATGCTTTTCTATAAAAAGGCATTTTTGCATCGTGCTTTGGGAAAGAGTAAGAATCTCGAATTCTCAGAATCACAAATTTATATCATCTCGAATTTTCAGAATATTGAAATTTCCATAGCTTCGAAAGGTTCAATTCGTACAATTACCAGGAGCACCTAAATTTGGTTCATCCCATGGAAATGTGGATATTCCGAAAATTCGTGAGTCCAATTTTGGAGATTGCGATAGCCCATCGCATGTGTTGCTTTGCAAAGGATTACCCCCATTGGAATTGATTACTCACACAAACCAATCTCGACAGTGCTCGCAAAGCGGCTTTCCGTGGCGGCTGGTGCAGGGTTTCATCACAGAGCAGCGAGTACAGATCGCCTAAACTTGGGGATCGGAGAGCATTTTAAAGCCGAATTTACCGGTACAGCGTGTTCGCGGGGCTTTTTCGGGGGCCTTGGACCGGCGGCCGTCTGTTTGCGCTTAATTGTGGTCTAAAAGTTGGATAGCAAGAAAAAAAGCCAAATATACCGTAACAGTCGCCAGCTTTTCTTCTTTTTTGGCCCTCGAGAAGGCATTTGGGGACCAGTCGAAAGGAAAAGCCACATTTCTGTCAAAAATGCTCCCAGGACCAGTGGGTGGGCCCTCTACAAAAGAGGATAATCCATATAATTTTCGGGTAACCTGGATTCGGCCTAACGTATTTCCTTGGTGCGAAGAAGTCGACAGCTTTCGATGAACGATCAGTCGAGCTGCCGCTGGCCTTTCGTGGGGCGGGCACCGGCGCTACCGAATTAGCATCCAGGGATCCGACGCTTTTCGGCGCCGTGAAGTGGAACCCGACTTGTTCTTCTTCCGCGCTACCAGCAGCGGAAGCGGGCGCGCTGAAAAAAGCAAAAGTACAAGTAAGAAAATAAATTCCTTACAATCTTGGCACGATCGAGGCCGGCCGGGCCCGTCTTGCTAGTTTCCGACACTAAAGGAGAATGTTTCGGCACAATTGAATGAATTACCGGTAACGCGGGGTGCAGAAGTGCCTTCGTTGATCTTTTCCAATTCTTTTTGGCGCGCCACGGCGTCAGCGAGTATTTTTGTGGTTTTTTCGTCAAAGCTGGGCATCTGAAATTGGTGGAGGATATGGGTGGAAAGAGTGTGATAGAGTCCGATGAAGCGGTTACCTTCTGGGAGGGGACAGCTTGCATCCCGAAACGAGTTGACGAGGCTGTGGAAGTCGAGGCGGACGTAGCGGTATTGTTGTGCTTAATGGTGACCTAAAAGTTGGATAGCCAGAAAAAAAGCCAAATATACCGAAATCGTCGTCAATTTTTCTTCCTTTTTCACATTCAAAAAGACGTTGGACACATTGCGGTTGAAGATGATGGCCGAGCCGGTGGTTGGATCTTCTAAAGAAAAAGAGGATAGTCTGGGTAATTTCCGGCACCTTTCTTCGGCGTGACATAGCTCTTTGGGGCGAAGAAATCGACAGCTTTCGATGAACGATCGGTCGAGCTGCCGCTGGTCTTTCGTGGGGCGGGCACCGGCGCCAAGGAATTATCATCTCGGGATCGGTCGCTTTTCGGTGGTGTAAAGTGGAACTCGATTTGTTCTTCTGCCGCGCTCAGGGCAGCGAAGCGGGCGCGCTGAAAAAAAAACATTATTTTAGGCAAGAAACGAATTCCTTACAATCGTAGCCCGATCGAGGCCGGCGGTGTCCGTCTCGCTGGTTTCGGAAACTAAAAGGAGAATGATTGGTGCAAAATTGATTGAATTACCGGTAGGGCGGGGTGCAGAAGCGCCTTCGTTGATCTTTTCCAATTCTTTTTGGCGCGCCTCGGCGGCTGCAAGTATTTTTGTGGTTTTTTCGTCGAAGCTGAGCATCTGGAATTGGAAAGTGAAGGGGAAAGAGGCGTGATTGATAATAAAAAGCTATTTAAAGAAAAAAATATTTTTTATAAGAAAAGAAAAAGTAAATATAAAAGATTTTGGGATCGTCAAAAATCGAAATGAAATTGCGAACAATACGAGACACGCCTATGGCGATGATACTCGTAAGGTCGTATTGTCTCGTAGTTTATATTTCTAATAAAAATTAAAAAAATTGAAGTTTATTTTTTTCTCATTATTTTATACGCTTTCAGGAACGAATGCCGTGACCGACACGCTTGCCGCGCTCGTCTACGATGTGAATGCGACGGCCGAGGTGCTGCGGCGTGGATCGCTGGGCCGGGATAAGGGCAATAAGAAGGACCGTGGCAGCGAGGTACTGTTTTTATTCGTTTTGCAATACTAACTGAATAAAATTAATAAATTTTTTTATTCAGGAGGTCGAGTACCGTCTCCGTTTGACGCCGACGGTCGACGAGGAGCCGAGGCCATTCCCGTCACCCAAGCAGTACGAACAACATGGGTTCTGAGAGAAGCTTGGATGTAGAGCATTAAGATTCAAGAATTCACCTCAAATTGCATAGTAATAAGGGATTTATGATAACTACTAGTTTGTATATAATAATTTAATCTCAACGCTAAATTTTCAGTGCCGGAAGAGAAAACCAGAGAGATAGATAGAAGACGACGGGCGAAGATATGCACCGCGATTTCGGCGTTGACACTTCGGAATCGCACACGTAAGCTAAAGTTGTTAATGTTATTTCGCATTATCGGGGATAGAAATTTTTTATAACGATCCTATTTGTATAATATAAATAAGAAATTTTTTTCTAAACTGTTTTACTATTCCTAAGTGTAAGAACTTTCATTAAAAATCCAAAAATATAGATTTTTCGACCAAACTGTTAACCAAAAACTTTTTCGAAATCTTTATTTGATCGTTTTTTTTTACTTGAAATATAGTTAAATTTTACTAAATTTACTATAAAATTAGTTACAAGCTTTCTGGACTTTTAGCAAAAGCATTAAAGTCTCCCCCCGCCGATAATGCCAAAGCACCATTTTTTATGCATCATTCGCCCTAAATTTTCAGCGCCAGTCTGAGACGCCGTGCTCGCAGCGAGATGCAGAGGCGCACCCTGCAAATTGAGGTAAGGGACATTTATCTGTATTTTGCGTAATATCGTGGTATTCTTTTGTTTTCGCTTCTATTATTTTGCTCCGCATCAAAACGGCGCGTTCATAAATTGGGGCCCGAATTCACGCGGGTGCGCTAGAGCGGAGACGGGTCCATACTGGGCGCAACTCTCAAAAAAAACCCAATGATTCAGCCCTCACCGCCACCGACGGCGCCCGCGATTTGTGCCTATTGCGATGGGGAGATTGACGGTGGGTTTTTATGGTTAAAATGACGTTATAATTAAATTTACGTATTGTATACTATTCAAAAAAACACTAAATACTACTAAAAACGATAAAAATTTCAGGCCAAATCCTGACAGCCCTCGCTCCAAACTCGTAGCGCGTCGAGAACACTTTCCACATCTACCACTTTATGTGCACCTATTGCCAGAAGGTAAGGAATAATGCAGAAAATAATAAATATTATAATAAACGAAATACCGGTGCTGGACTATTAGCGGGGGTGGAAAAGCTAGCTGTCCTAAGCCTACCTTGAAATTTTTAGCGTGTTAGATAGAGATTTAAGGTGCTCTTACAAGGGAAGGGCACATGCACAGGTTGGAATTTCGAAAAACGCTCGCGGCTACCCCGGGGTAATCGACTACGGAGAACACGATGCTGTCGTCCGATTTTCCTGCCGAGGCTTGTGGACAGAGATACAGCACTTCCGGAAAATCATGATTTGCATGCGAAAAATTAGAATCCGGGGAAGCTTTATTAGGCTTTCCCATCAGTATGCAATCGCCAGTCGAGTGGCCGATTGGTGAGAAACTCGCTTGGTAGGTAATTTCGAAACGTTTTTTTCTAACCGTCCTAGCAGCCCTAAACCACAACACTAGAGTTGTGTCAAAGTGTCTAAATTTTTTTTAATTAAAAAAATTTTAAAAAATATAAATTTAATATTTAAATAAAAAAATTTTAATAAAATAAAAAATTTTATTTAAATTAAATTTTTCACGCTCTCTCCAACGGTATACTTAACGTTACACGAAACCGTCTGGGGACAGAGATGGGAGCGTTTTAGTGCTGAAAGGCGTACTTGCCGATGTTGTTGCGGCAGTAAAACCATCATATCTCGCTTGAAATTAAGTATTTTGGGGTGCCAAGTACATTATTCGAAAGAGCGCGAAAAGTTCTATCCGTGTAACGAGTTTCAGCTTTTGGGCAGCTTAGCTCAGCCTGCTAGGACGGTTAGAAAAAAACGTCTGGAAATCGTCCGCCGCCTTGAACAACCTCGAAGAAATGCTACCAAACGACCCCCAAATGAGTTGTAAGCAGTTTGGCATCAACTTGTCCGAACTGCTCGAAGATGATGTTCATCTTCTGGTTTGGTCAAAAAAGCCTAGTTCATATATTAAAGCCATTGCCAAAAAGCACTCCGAAAGGCACCCCAAAAGGCACCCCAGTGGGGGGCGGGGTGCTTTCCAGAGCACCCCACTGGGCGGCTCTCTTTGGGGTGTTGTCCAACACTACACCGCAGGCTTGAAAAAGGCGCAAGTTTGTGTCGCAGGCTAAGGGACCAAATTACCGAGATACAAAAGTTGGTGCCGGCTGGGGGGCCTAAACTCTTACCGAAATTTGCCGCAACCCATCGGTACTTCTTGTTCAGCAGAAAAAGCACCGGGGTGCAAAACAAAGCACCCCGCGGTGCTCTCTTTGTGGTGCTCTCCAACACTACTGCGGTGCAAGGCTGTGCCATAGCTTCATCGTTTAGCCTGCGGCGCAGTTTTGAGCGACTGACTTCATAATAACGTCTCCCTAGACGGAAAGGTAGGTACAATTCGGATAAGCGGGGGAAATTTTAGGCGGGGAAACCAACTTTTTTCCGTTCAACCCTAGCCTATATTTTTTATATAAATAGTGGAAGTGTTTCTAAATTGTTTATAACTATTTCTAAACATAAAAACTTTACAAAACTTAATTAAAAATTTAATTTTATGTCGAAAAATTTCATTTTTCGGCCCAAAAATTGACCAAATTTTCGACTTTTTCAAGCGGTTTTCAAAACTTTTGCAAAGTTTTAAATAGGCTTAAATTTTGCTAAAAACAATGTGAAAACACTTTATATTTGATTACCACCATCCCCAGGCCGACAAGAAAAAAGTTGGTTTCCCCCGCCTAAAATTTTCCCCCCCGCTTATCCGAATTGTACCGGAAAGGTACTCCGAAACATGATTTCCGAGCAAAACGCAAAACAAATACGTCAGGCCGTTAATCGAACTGGCGGACCGATGGCAAGATTGGCAGACCGACGCTCTAACCACTAGGCCTGAAAAGGCGAGCACCCGCGCAAAATGCCTAACGGTTCGAAGGGTTTCGGGCTTGCCGGCGCCATACAAGAGTCTGAAGATGACCAACGACTTCAACCAGTTCAGAAACCTGGCAAAACCCTCGAAAAATGTTTTATAAGGATTTTTGCGTTTTTCATGGCTTTTCTCGACTTCTAACCGGGTTTTTCGCCAAGTTTCAGGCTTGCCGGCGCCATACCCGGAGATGACGAACAACTTCAACCAGTTCAGAGACCTGGCAAAACCTCGAAAATGGTTTTTTACAAGGGTTTATCGGGTGTTTTTCATGCTTTTTTTTTCGGGGTCCGGGGACTACCCCGAAAGTCATTACCCCGAAAAGTCACTACCCCGAAATCGTTTACCCCCGAAAAATGATAGCAGTGTTTTCCCCGGAAAAATCCAGTTTTCATGCGGATTTCCTATGAAGATCATGCAAATTATTTCGGGGTAGTGACTTTTCGGGGTAGTGACTTTCGGGGTCGTGACTTTACCCCCTTTTTTCGACTTTTCTATACGTTTTTATCGCGGCTCTCCTTTTATAATGCAGAAAATCTGGGCCACTGAGGTGAGTGAGGGTGCTGGCCGGGCTGCGTTTTCGCACTTTGCATAAATTTTGGAGCCATGATTCGCATTTGGCTGCCGGAATGCGGCCGCATTATGCGTACAACTACTGGATTTAAGGCGACTGATGGGATGATCGATCACCCACGTTCAAAGGCTCAACGTCTCGGCATCCGCGCCTTTGCTGTTCTCCTCCTCCACTTCAGCTTCGAACACGTTTACACTCCCAGTAAGTATACAGCCAGAGTTTGGCTGGGTAACCGCTTTTTTCGGTCTGCTCGCCTGATTTGTCCTTTCCAGACATCAACGAGAGGCTGCTGAAGTTCAAACCACTTCACGACTCGCACGTTGACGAGGACGTCAGTTTTGCACAAGGCTGCAAGCAACATTTTCACCAGCTGGCCGCCGACCAGATGACGCTCATCGACACTCGCCGTCTGGTAAGCCCTATGATAACCACCAATTTTGCGCTTAGATGTACAAGCAGGCGCGCCATCTGCGCAACCTTTTCACCTCAAACGGGGTGTCTGTTCCGGCCCTTCTGAAGGAGGCGCTTATGGAACAGCGCGTAGCCGGTGGCCGTGAGGATGGTCAGCCCCAGGTAAAGACAGACAAAAAAAATATAGTGTAAAAAATATAAGAAAAGTCAACGAAAACTGATAAAACAATCAATAATTCGTAAATTTTATTTGCTGCGTTCGGCAATTGTTCGTCCAAAATTCTGAGTGATCATGGTTTTTCCCTCCCCCCTGCCAAAACACGTATTCCAGCGTGTCATAACCCAGTTACCAGCGGATTTGCAGGAAGGTGGCGGCTCGCTTGAGGGTTTTGACGCGATTCAGGCGGGCAACAACTACTACCAGAAGTTGTTGGTCTACGCGGATGCGGTCAAGGGAGTGCTCGAAGAGGTATAGTAACATTTTTAGTAGTTTTTGATTGCTAGAAGCTCATAAAAATTTTTTTGAAAATTCAAAAGTTTTTATCATGCTTTAAAATACCGAAAAAATGGTATATTTTTGTTATAGGACCGTAGAGAGCCACAAAAAAATATTCCCCCGCACCAACCCTTCCCCCCCCCCCGCCAACAGTCAAGAATCATTTTAAATTCACCCGCTTCATTCACACTACACAACCGCCGCAACCCTTTCAAATTCATGTTTAGCTCGAAACTTTGCTCACGAACAACGAGCGAATCAAATGCGACAACGTGAGGCTGACTGCTGCGTTGAGCGACGCGGAGGCCCGGCTCGATCGAAAGATCCCTGCTTGGCGAGTCCAATCCGGCTACGAGACTGAGCCGGCGCCCCGCAACTACGTAAGCCGATCATGTAGCTTCCCCACTTAGCCTAGGCCTAGTTCTAAACCTAATCTAAGCCTAAGCCAGAGCTTAAGTCTAAGCCTAAGCCGAAGCTTGAGCCTAAGCCTAAGCCTAAGCCTGAGCCTAACCGAAGCCTAATCTAACAATAAGTCTCGTCTAGCCTATTCTACTTTATCGTACACCACATGCATCGAGAATTTAGCTGATGCTTCTCACGGCGTCGACGATGCTGAACGCCGCTCTGGGTGGAGATGTCCTCAACGATCCTGACGCACCCGACACCCCGCCATCGCCGCTGAACGCCGCTCAGGTAGCTTCGGAGCTAAGCTTAATCGTAGGATTAGTTTAGCTCAGGGCATGCCTTATTTTCTACATTTAGCACGATCCGCCCGTGCGCTCCCCTGCGATCGGCTTCGAGCACTTGTCTTCGGAGGGTCTGGACGACATCCAGGCGGTCGTTTCTTCGCCAACCACGTCGCCTACCGCGCCGGCTCGAGACCTCACCAACGAGGTACCACAAAGGACTTTTCACTATAGCGACCCCATCCCTCTCAAGGACTTTTCACCATGGCGTATCCAGGCCTAAAAAGCGCGTGTCCCGGTTTCGACCCCCGGCCGCGGCATTGAGTTTGCTTTTTCGGGTCCGTCATGGTTGGGTATCGCATAGCGTTGGCGACACAATAGTCTTTAAAAGAAGGGGAACCAAAGGTCCTCTTTGCCGTTTGAACCTCGAATTTACAGCAGACGATGAACAGCGGCTATTCCCCGGCTCTCTTCACCACTACCGGGCTCGTCGTCCTCTGCGCCTGCCCTACTCCTGTTAAAACGAAGGATCCAACATTGATTTTCCTTTGTGTCAATGTGTGTGTATCTGCCCTTCCGCCTCACCACCACTTCTTGTATGCCGATGATATTGTTAATAAAGGGATCCGGTTTTGCGCGCTTCCGGTTATACGTTTGGAACAAACTCAGAAACACTGCAAAGCAATGCGAACATACAGAGCTTGGAACCGTATTTCTTTGTCTTCTCTTCTGTCAACTGGTTGAAACCGTTGGCCTTCTCCAGAGCCGGAGCCAGAGCCGGAGCCAGAGCCGAGCACCCTCGGGGTGGCAGTGCGCGTTCCATCGTTCTGGTAGTCTTTAAGGTTAGGCCTAGACTTAGAATTAGAATTTGCATCTAGCTGCCGGAAGGCCCCCGTATTGTGCGTACAACTCCGGCTATTTAAGGAGGGTGGTGATGACCCACTATCCAAGGCTAGTCGCCTCCGATCGGCCGACCACGCGCTACGCCGTGACCTCGTGCCGCTCTCTTCTTCGTGTCGGGTGCGACTTCTTCATCTTCTTCTCCATCGACTTCGGCTCGCCGTCCTCGAAGTTGTCAAAATGTTTTCTGTGCCAGTCAGTTTTCCTCCAGAATTGAAATTGTTTCCATCGTGTGCTTGCCGAATTTGTGTTTTCCAGGAATACGCACCGCATACGCTGCTCGATGCGAATGAGAGAATGCAGAATTTCGAGACGATCCACAATGCGCACGTTGAAGACGCGGCTACTTTTCTCCGCAGAACCAAATCGCTTTTCCTTGATCTGAGTGCCGAACATCTGCACCTCACAGACGTCCAACGCATTGTAAGTACTTCCATAACTGCAAACTTTGCGCTTAGGTGCTCAAGAATATGCGCCACGTTCGCAGTGTTTTTGTCAACAACTCCCTGCCAACCCCGGATCTCGTCACGGCCGCTCTTCGTGAACAGCGCGTAGCGGGTGGTGTTGATCTTGACCGTGAAGGAGACCGGCTCGACGTGACCTCCACCAACGCCTCCTACCACGCCTCACTGACCCCATATGCCGCCGCGGTTGACCAAGTGAACCAAATGGTAATTTTAAATATCACTACAGGGTGCAGCAGAAAAAAATTATGAACTCTTTTGAGTCCGAAAAAGCCAGATTCAGGTCTCCTTTTTTGTGAAAAACCTGCTCCGCGCCCCAACAGCATCAAAAGTTTGCTTTAGATCAACGGACTCGGCGACGAGAACCTGCGCGAGAAGTTGGAGATCGAGAAACTGGCTGCCATCCTTCAATCGGCCGAAATTGTCCTCGACAAGAAGTTGCCCAATTGGCGCGCCGACCACCCGTACCCCCGATCCGGAGCACAAGGACTATGTAGGCTACACCCGTGAATTCTAGTCCGGAAATTTAGATCCGCATCCTCGATCCTGGCTCCCCGAACGCCGCCGTTGCTTTGGCTGCCCCCCAGGAGAATGAAGCCGCCGTGCCGCCGGCCGAAGCCCAGGTACTGACTTAGCGCTTAGCCGGATACATCGGAAATTCAGGCCAACCACCCCACCCTCCGTCCTCTCCACTTCGAGCATCTGTCTTTTGAAGATGACCCCGAGGAGTTCACGCCGCCCCAAACTTCACCGCCCGCGACATTGACGAGGTACTACAGGCAAAACATTTTTAAAAACCTGAAAGTTGAATCTCGAATTTCTGAATTTTGCATTTTTGCATACTCGATCAACATTAAAAGCTGCAGGCAGCTTAGGCTCAGACTAAAAATAGTTTAGGCTCCGTAAGCGGTGTAATAAGGGAATAAGGCGGGGCGAGGGCGGCAAGAGGAGCCGGAAGCACCGGGTCGTCTGTTGCCGCCTTAACGTCGAATTTACAGTAGGCCGAGCCCAACTACGCGCCCTACGCCACTTCTGCCGCTCTCCTGCTCTTCGTCGGCTGCCTAGTCTTCATCAAACAACGTCGTGTACTGTGATTGCCTCCGATTTTCCTTCACCTGATTCCCCACCTGCCGTGCACGCATTAATAAAGGGATGCTTTCTCAATGTATCTAGCCACACGGAAAAGCGATGCGTATATACAGAGTGTGGAGGTGGTCATTACCTGCTTGGCTTCTTTTTTGTTGGCCTGATGGTGTTGGCTTCTTGGTGTTGGATTCTCCTTGTTGGCCTCTTGGTGTTGGCTTTGTGCGAATCGTTTTCGAGAAAGAAACTCAGGATCTGGACCGATAGCGGGGGGTGGGAGTTTGGCAAGGGGCAAACAACTTTCAGTTTTTCCACCTGTTGATGACAAAATTAGGCATTTTTTTAGCGGTTTTTGCATGCTAGAAATTTAACAAAAATTCTTTCAAAATGTTGATTTTTTTGTCATTTTTCATAGCTTTTTCTACATACCTTTCAAAATGTAGGAAAATGAGCAAAAAAAGGCCAAATTTTCGAATATCACTTTCTAGCAATCAAAATCTACTAAAACACTATCAAAATACATACAAAAATACAAAGACTAAGCTGGTGGAAAACAGAAAGTGTTTGCACTCCCCCCCTGCTAACAGTCCAGAACCAAATCTTCTGATGGCGCCCTGCAAATACTTCACAAATTATTATTTACACCGATAAAAACAGTATTTTTTTTGACCGCGGTCTGTGGGACAACGGGTTTATCTGGATCGCTAGCATAGGGTTGTGCCTCCCCCCGATGATTCGAATTCACCAGACGTGATCAAAGCAGCGCAAACCCCACAAATATGCGACTTCCTTGATCATCCCCTGAATTCTAGGCGAAGGTTGGAGCTGGAGGACTTCTATCGCTCCCGCTTCCGCCGCCTCTAACTCTCCACCCCCCGCCAGCTCGACACGTGCAAGGGACACCCGCAAAACGCTATTGGGCCAAGACGGTATGGCCATTAATCCAGACAACTCCAATGCTACAGGAGCTTGGCGACTGCACCAAGTGCGGCAAGATGAAGCAGACCTCCGGCCGCTTTGGGCTGCCGATGTGTCGAGGATGCGGCGATTGGTTTTTGTGAGCTGCTGTTTGGGACACCTCACGTTTGTATGATTTCCAGGAAGCGTTGGAGGGAGCTGTGGCCGCGTCGCTGTCATCATCCGGTGTTCATTGGTAATTTTTCTTGATGATGATTCTGCTAGCCTGCCCTCACTTCCTCAATGATCTCTGCTAGCCTGCCCTCACCTCCAGAATGATCTCTACTAGCCTGCCCTCACCTCCACAATGATCTCTGCTAGCCTGCCCTCATCTCCACAATGATCTCTGCTAGCCTGCCCTCACCTCCACAATGAACTCTGCTAGCCTGCCCTCACCTCCACAATGATCTCTGCTAGCCTGCCCTCATCTCCACAATGATCTCTGCTAGCCTGCCCTCACCTCCACAATGATCTCTGCTAGCCTGCCCTCACCTCCACAATGAACTCTGCTAGCCTGCCCTAACCTCCACAATGATCTCTGCTAGCCTGCCCTCACCTCCACAATGATCTCTGCTAGCCTGCCCTCACCTCCACAATGATCTCTGCTAGCCTGCCCTCACCTCCACAATGATCTCTGCTAGCCTGCCCTCACCTCCACAATGATCTCTGCCCCAGCCTGACCCTAGCCTCCACAATGATCTCTGCTAGCCTGCCCTCACCTCCACAATGATCTCTGCTAGCCTGCCCTCATTCCTCTATGATCTCTGCTAGTCTGCCCTCACCTCCACAATGATCTCTGCTAGCCTGCCCTCACCTCCACAATGATCTCTGCTAGCCTGCCCTCATTCCTCTATGATCTCTGCTAGTCTGCCCTCGCTTCCTCAATGATCTCTGCTAGCTCTTCAATGATCTCTGCAACACCCATCATTACCTTATTCTAGATCGTTGCCAGCACTGCAAATTCGACAGTCTGGTTGACGAGACTTGGCTAAAGATTCGGGACAGAAAGGATGGACTAACTGCCGATTCTCCTATCGCCGATCATCTTTAATTTATCTGTTTTTGATAATCCATCATAGCTCTCCCTCTTCCAGTTGTGCTCATTTAATTCCTTGTGATTAGCGCTCAATTTACGATAC